GGTCAGGCCACAGTTGGAGTACTGTGTCCAGTTCTGGGCGCCGCACTTCAGGAGGGATGTGGCCAGCATTGAGAGGGTCCAGAGGAGAGCCACTCACATGGTCAGGGGGCAGCAGGACAGGCCCTACGAGGAGAGACGAGACCTGAACCTGTTCAGCTTCCACAAGAGAAGGCTGAGAGGGGATCGGGTAGCCGTCTATAAACTGGCCAAGGGAGACCGGCAGGCAATGGGTGAGTCCCTGTTCCCCCGAGCACTACTGGGAGTAACAAGGAATAACGGCCATAGGTTGACTGAGAGTAGATTCAGACTAGACATCAGGAGGCGCTACTTCACTGTCAGGGCGGCTAGGATCTGGAACCAACTTCCAAGGGAAGTGGTGCTGGCTCCTACCCTGGGGGTCTTCCAAAGGAGGCTGGATAGACACCTTGCCAGGGTTCATTTGACCCCAGCATCCTTTCCTGCCAATGGCAGGGGGGGGGGGGGGGGGGGCCTACCAACTATGAAACCATGAAACTATGAAGGGGAGAGCAGTCCAGGAGAGCTGGCTGTACTTTAAAGAAATCTTACTGAGAACACAGCAACAAACCAACCTGTTATGCAGGAAGATTAGCAAGTATGGCAGAAGACTAGCTTGGCTTGGCAGCAAACTTTTCAGTGAGCTACCACACAAAAAGGAAGGTTACAAGAAGTGGAAACTTGGACAAACAACTAGGGAGGAGTATAAGAGCATTGCTTGGGCATGCAGGGATGAAGTCAGGAAGGCCAAAGCACAACTGGAGTTGTAGCTAGTGAGGGATGTGAAGGGTAACAAGAAGGGTTTCTATAAGTATGTTGGTAGCAAGAGGAGGATCAGGGAAGGTGTGGATCCCTTACTGAATGGGGAAGGCAACCTTGTGACAGTGGATGCACAAAAGGCTGAAGTACTCAATGCCTTTTTTGCCTCAGTCTTCACAGGCAAGGTCAGCTTCCAGATTACTGCATTGGGCAGCACAGTTTGGTGAGGTGAGCAGCTCACAGTGCTGAAAGAACAGCTTAGGGGCTACTTAGAAAAGCTGGATGTGTACAAGTCCATGGGGCTGGATGAGATGAACCCAAGGGTGCCGAGGAAGTTGGCTGATGTGACTGCAGAGCCATTGGCCATCATCTTTGAAAACTTATGGTAATCAGGAGAGGTCCCAGGTGATTGGAAAAGGGCAAACACAGTACCCATATTTAAGAAAGGGAAGAAGAAGGATCTAGAGAACTACAGACCAGTCAGCCTCACCTCAGTCCCTGGAAAAATCATGGAGCAGATCCTCAAGGAATCCGTTTGTAAGCACTTGGAGGAGAAGAAGGTGATTAGGAACAGTCGACATGGATTCACCAGGGGCAAGTCATGCCTGACCAACCTGATTGCTTTCTATGATGAGGTGATTGGCTCTGTGGATGCTGGGGGACTGGTGGGTGCAGTGTACTTTGATTTTAACAAGCCTTTTGATATATTCTCCCACAGCATTCTCCCAGGCAAGCTAAGGAAGTATGGGGTGGATGAATGAACTGTAAGGTGGATAGAAAACTGGCTGGAGCATCGGGCTCAGAGAGTAGTAATCAATGGCTCGATGTCTAGTTGGCAGCCAGTATCAAGTGGAGTGCCCCAAGGTTTGGTCCTGGGACCAGTTTTGTTCAATGTCTTCATCAATGACCTGGAAGATGGCATAGAGTGCACCCTCAGCAAGTTTGCAGATGACACCAAGCTGGGGGTAGTAGTAGATATGCTGGAGGGTAAAGCTAGGATTCAAAGGGACCTAGAAAAATTGGAGGCATGGGCCAAAAGGAATCACATGAGGTTTAACAAGGACAAGTACAAAGTCCTGCACTTAGGATGGAACAATCTCATGCACCAGTACAGGCTGGGGGCCAAATAGCTGGGCAGCAGCTCTGCAGAAAAGGACCTGAGGATTACAGTGAACAATAAGATGAATATGAGCCTGCAGTGTGCCCTTGTTGTCAAGAAGGGTAATGGTATACCGGGCTGCATTGATAGGAGCACTGCCAGCAGGTCAAGGGAAGTGATTATTCTCCTCTATTCAGTGCTGGTGAGGCCACATCTGGAGTACTGTGTTGAGTTTTGGGCCTCCCATTACAGAAAGGATGTGAACAAATTGGAGAGTCCAGCAGAGGGCAACAAAAATGGTGAGAGGGCTGGAAGTCATGATTTATGAGGAAAGACTGAGGGAACTGGACTTTAGTCTACAGAAGAGAAGATTGAGGGGGGATTTAATAGCAGCCTTCACCTACCCGAAGGGGGTTCAAAAGAGGATGGAGCTGGACTGTTCTCAGTGGTGGCAGATGACAGAGCAAGGAGCAATGGTCTCAAGTTGCAGCAAGGGAAGTTTGGATTAGATATTAGGAAGAATTTTCTCAGTAGGAGGGTAGTAAAACACTGGAACAAGTTACCCAGAGAGGTGGTGGAAGCTCCATCCTTGGATGTTTTCAAAACCCAGCTAGATAAAGCTTTGGCTGGGATGATGTAGTTGGGGGTGGTCCTGCTTTGAGCAGGGGGTTGGACTAGATGACCTCCCGAGGTCCCTTCCAACCTTAACTTTCTATGATGTTATGGTTCTCCGCAGCATTACTTTTCTCTAGGATTCTTCCCTCTCTTCTTTTGAAGGGTACTTTTCCTACTCTGCCTAGTAATAATCAAGTATTTGATGCTTGTTATGGGTTGCATTATGCCAGGTGAAACTAAAACATTGACTCAGGGATGCACTGAGAATTTCCTTGATTTGCCAAGATGTAACAAAATGAAGTTTTCTTTTTACTATGGAGGTTTGGCATGGGCAGATCAATGGCCCTAATAAGCAGTGCTTTTTTATCCATTTGACATGGAATTCCATAGCTTCCATTTAGCCAACTCCCTATAGCAAACACCATGCCAGAAAACAGTTATTTTAACATTCATGTGCCTGGACTCCGTTTGGGTTGGTTTGACACAGTTCAACTAGCCATGTAATGGTCATCTTGAGTGCCAAAAATCCAAGCTTTCTTTTTTTAAAAGAAATCTGTCTTACTTACAGTTCAGACATGATCTTCAGTACATAAACAAAATGAAAACTAATGTAGTGATGCTTGCCTGAGTCTGCAGAAAGCCTAAAAAGAGAAAGGTGTAAAGTGGCTCATTAATGCCTTTGAATGGTTGACCTAAAACCTAGTGACAAGATAAATATTGACACGATTAACTGCTGTACTACTGATCAAGCATTCAAGAAAAGTGGTAATTGTGTTATGGGTCTGCACTATTTACTCTGGCATTTCAGTGTCCTATCATAAACAGGTGGAGTGTAAGTTACGGGTAGAGTTTGGGAGCGTAATATCACTTATTTTTTTCTCTCCAGTTTGATCCCTGCAATACATAAAAACATAAGAAGTGCCATACTGGGTCAGACCAACAATCCATCTCCCCCAATAACTTGTCTCTGACAATGGCAATTGGATGTAATAAAACAAGGATGGCCAACTTGCAGCCTCTATATGTGGTACACAGAAAATTGGAGAGGAAGCAGGAAACACTAGCAGACAGGGTAGAGAGCAGCAAAGTAGCAGACTGGGCAGGGAGCACAGGGAAGGATGCAGAAAGCAGAGCAGCAGATCGGGCAGAGAGCACTGGGCTGGGAGCAGAAAGCAGAGCAGCACAGGGGCAGAGGAAGAGGATTGGAGTGGCACTCACGGAGGGTGCGTGGGGCTAATTTGTGCCATGCCTGCCAAAAAGCTTGGCCTCTAGTGCTTTAGAGGAAGGGTTTATGAACAAGGCAGAGTAATCCATTCCCTGACATACTTTCCCACGAATCAACCATCGTTGGTCTGGGGATGTCAGAGGATACGTCCCTGACTGTTCTATTTAATAGCTTCCAAGCTCTAGGCAACAGGGGTTGTACATTAGAGCATGAGAATCCAAGACAAAACAAGCATCCTGCGACTACTAAACTAGGAGTTCTCTATATGCAGAGTGCTTCCATGGTCGTAAGACAGAGGGAATTCATCACTGCTGTTAGAGAGCATTAGTTGCTGTCAGACTATGGGCTCTTTGGAATACACTCAGAGCATATAAACCAGAATTTTTATATGCAAGGCTGCTAAGGGAGGCAAGCAAAAGCCCTACTTAGGATCTCAAATAAAAAGTGCCCTGATTCATTAGGGGTCATGAGCACCCACAAAATCACAGAGGTCCAGGAGAGCGCTGAGAGCTTGGCGCCTCTGAAAATCAAGCCATGTCTACTGAGGTCAAACATTTCAGTATCCAAGTTGGAAAATGTCTACCTGCTTTTGATAAAACAAAGGGCATACCCCTTATTTCTTTTGCAATGTTCTTTTCACATATTTTCACCCCAGAAGCTACTGTGGAAGGAACTCAGTAGGCAGCTACGGCTGCCTACTGAGCTACTGAACTGGATGTTCCCAATGGTTACATAGATTCATGCTGGCATTGAAAAATGTTGGGCAAATTTTCTGTGATGTCTTTTGGTGATAGGTAAGGCAGGGTGGCACCTTAGAGACTAACTGATTCAGAGAGGTGACAGCTTACCTTGTCAGATGCTATGAATGGACTTGCAGAAAGCAGGGGGTCTAAATAGAATAGAATTTAAATGCAAAGGATAGGGGGAGGGGGCACTGCTGAGAGAGGCAAAGGTGGGTTGAATAGATCAATAGGTAATTAACCCACAAGGCAATTAACCCATTTGAGGAACATAGGAGGCAAAAAAGCTAGTCCAGGTAATGGGTAAGACTCCATAGCTTCTGTTAAGACCATAATTAACACAATCCAATCTGTGCACAATTTTGGCAACAGGACTGTGGTATTATACATTCTGTTCCAAATGTCCCTTGCCATTTGTTTGGTGACATGCAGAAACCTGCCCAAACACTCCTCCCTCCTCAGGCACAACACACAGCAGCATCAGACACCATTTATCAAAACTTGTCATTATTTTTGCAAGAAAACTCCAGACAAGAGATTAAGCACAAAAGATCACTTTATTCCTCAAATCACACCTACATTATTCTTGTAAAGGTGCACTTCTAGTTTTCAACATTTTAAATATATATCTATATTTTTTCCTGCATAAGCTACATACTTTAAAGGAAAAAACACCCCTAAAAATAAATACAAAGCATAGCAGTTTTACTTTTAACATGTGCTTTGAGCATTGTCTGGTCCTGCATTAATTTGGGTAGCTGAAGGTGGATTCAGCAGTCTCCCTGTCTGATATGCTTGAAAAAAAATCCAGGGATACTCTCCCCCACTCTCCAAAATTGACAGCTTTTAAGACAAGCTGTTAATCAAATACTTAGGCATGCTTTGATTGTCTCATGCCAGTATTACAATTCTATGGTCTTTCACTACAAACTCGCACATTTTCTTGGAGATAAAACTTACGGCATAACTGTGATATCTCCTTTTCTAAATGGTCATAGAAAATTTCATGTTACAAATTAATTGCTTTATACATACCAGTTGGTTAAGTTCCAAAAGCAGCAGGGATTCAGTACTAAAGAGGTTTACTGGCTTGACCAATGCATAACTTAGAAGACCAGACAGTTCCCAAGTTATTGATTGCATAACTGCAGCACAATCTGGGACTGGGGTTCTACTTAAAACTTAATTAGGCAAAATGGTTAGAAATGCAAATACATTGCAGTATAAAAATGTCACCAAGGTCGTAAGAGCATGCTGTGGGTGGAAGTATTCCTACAGGATAAGCACAGTTCACAACAACTGCACGACTTCTTTCAACAGCCAGGCGTTGTGGACCGACAAAGCATTTTTTATAGAGGTTGTCACAGTTAAAGAGAGGCTACAGTAGTCCAGTGCAAACAATGTCATGCTCCTTCAAACACATGGAGGAGATTGGATAAGGTAAGTGTTTTATTTGCCATGTGGCACTGTCAGAAGTCATGCTCTTTTGAAGGTTTTCATAGAATGAGGGACAAGTATAAGCCTGAGTGGGCCTGCCTGTGAACTCATCCCAATCAGTACCTCTCTCTGGAGGAGCATTCCTGAAAATGAAGTCACTATATGGCAGGCTGGTTTATCTACATATCCACGGGCATTTTAAGAGCCCCCAAGGGCTCCATCCTATAGCACTGACTTGAACTTCAGCTGATCTCTCTCACAATAAGGTCTGAGGTAGTTTAGAATCAAGCTATGGAAGCATAGGACCATGAAACCCGGTAAAGAGAAAAGGTGGCACGGAGCAGCAATGCACAAAAATCACCCTCACAGGGTACAACTGGCAACTGCTGCTGTGGGAAAGAACAGGACCAGGTATTATGAGTTTACTCTAAGTCAGGAAAGAACAGCACTGACAGAGATGAGTGGAGAAGTTCATAACAGATCCTATACACATTGAGCCTGGCTCTAATGTTTCTTTTATGAGCTTTGAAACAATGGCATTAACAGTCATTCCAGAAAGAAAACCCAATTATTTAAAATGATAATAATGAAACTCAGTAAAAGAGTGAGAAAAAATATGATAAGAACTTCATGCCTCTAGAATCTTAGTTTACTAATGACTAGACGCTGGGTCCTAAGAGAAAGTTATATTTCTCAAAAACAAACTAAGCTGTTAACCTGATGCTTGAATCTAGAGATAACTAAATTATCTTCTCAGTGTATGTTGCTCTGGAAAGACACATCAGTGAATTCTTTTAAGATTCACTGTCGCCTTTGCAGCTCATCAGACAAACAGCATTCACATGCAACAGATAAATTCACTGTTCATGGCATCTGCTGTGTTTCAAAAGTGAAGAAAAGCTGATGTGGGTGCTTAACTTTTAAGCTAAAGATTTCCAAACAGATTCTGATCCTGCCCCTATTGATGGTGACTCTGTTTCAGACTTCAAGGGTGCTGGATCAGAGCCATAGCAGATTATGAAAACACAGTTTTCAGAAGGGTTAGTGCTTCCCCAGTGGCTGGGCAGATTAGTTTGGATATTGTAGACTAACAATTCTCAGCTTTCTGACTCATCATAGAAGCTCGGAAGTAAACAACTGGAATTGGCACGCTTTACTCAGGTACTTAGCAGAGATGTGAACAGCACTTCTCTAATTCATCAACTTTCAGAAGAACATGTAAAGAATAATGCTAGGGAAGGCTGCAGCTAAAGCAGCATAATGTTTAAGTGGAGGGAAGAGGAAAAACAACACGAGCAATGAATCAAGATAGAGGTGGATGAATTGCACCATGTGAGGCAAACAGAAGTGACAGACACACTTTTTATGCCACATATTATATGCCTGCATGTTTGCAACTACAGTCCAGGCTTTTACCAAATGCCACACTGCTAAAAGTACACAGCTATCCTCTGAACATACGGAGTCCAGTGAACTTGTTAATGATCTCTTTAAACATTCTTTCAAAATGTTTACCTCCTAAAGCCACCAATAAAGTACATTGTGTTTGTACAACATGCCCAAACTAGGAGATCTGAACAACTTTGCTACAAAAATATCAGAGGTGGACGAACACAAATGTCAAAGCAGAATCTTATCAGTCCTCCACATCAGGTCATGGTATTTTGGACTTCCCTGCAAGCATCTAGCTTTAATTGTGTCATTATAAATTCCCTTTGCACCCTAGGATGAATCTCTTCCCATTTTTTATAATACTCCTATGTGTCTTAGGCAACACCCCTATTTTCCTCCTGCACTATACAGTCCTGAAAAGTATAAAACAGAAGAAACCTGCTTCAGCTGCTTTGCAATGAGCTCATTAGCAATTGCTCTGAAGGTATAGTTTCTCAGTCTGTCAAATTTCTATGAGATCTTCCCATGAAAAATGTCATTGTCTACCAGTGACTGAATTAAGCAAGAAACAAGAGACAGACGAAGAAGATACCAGACAAGATCTGTGGCAGATGGTACTTCAAGGGCACAATCAAAATGTTTTCATTAAAGGAGAATATTTAATAATAGGAAACCTCTTTGCATCACCTATCTGTATACATAAAGAAATATAATACGTAGTATTTATCACTGATTGCTCACATGGTCATTTTAACTCAGTAGGTAACTGTATAATCTAAAACTTGTGATCATGCAAAATGAATTCTTTTCTTCTAGGTATGCAGGTTCACTACCATTTGTATAAGGAGAAAATGAAACATTGTTACCAAGTTAGATCACATGGCACATGGTTGCAAAGGTGCAGGCACTGGTCTGAATAATGAGGACTGTACAACCCTGCTTATCCACAAGTTGCAGAAGACATCTGACTTCTGGATAAACAGTATTTTGCTTGAAAGGGGTAGTTAAGTCAACTTTCTCAGTCTTTCAGATCCCTTAAAACAGACACTTTTGTTGATGTGTCTGCCAGCTTTCATGACTCATTGGACAACAATGAAAACTCTGAAGAAGCCACTTACATTCTGCTGAAGTGAGGTCTGGCTAACAAAGATGGCACACAGAGTTGGATGGGCTGAGGTAACAGTACAGAAACAGATCTAGCAGAACTGCTGAGAGCGAAGCTGTTTTTATATTGCACCAACAATGCAGTTTCACAGGCAGCTCTTCCTCCTTGACTAAATCCCAGGGCCTGTAATAGCAGATGGGGGCCCTCTTTTTGCCTTCTCTGAAGATAGTAGTTACCAACCACAAATATTTTTACTTGATATAATCTGAACTGCAATTTCCATAGCACTTCTATAACAGATGCATTTCAATGTTCTGAGAAAAAATATAATCCATCATTCTATTAGACTGGGGGTGGAGGGAAAAGAGATAATTCTCTGATGTCTGACTGGGTAATAACGATGAACGTCAGTAGGGTATCATTACTCTCAGAGTAAGGTTGGTTATTCATTTACTGAAAGTAACTAACTCCTGCATGGTGTGTAACTGAACTGCCATTAGTTGTAAATTGTAGTCATTCTATTGGGAAATGGGAGGACTTTTCAGTTTCCCACATAAGACTCCTACATGTCACAGTCATTCTTTTGGATTCTCTGTCTAATATGAATGACAATGTGATTTCATAAGTTACAATATTTCAGTAAGCTTTTAAATGTATAACAAATGGCCCAAATCTGTCCTGAGATATAGGCACAGATCCTACATGTATCAAAGCATTCAAATGAAGTCTTGTATTTTTCCAAATGGTAGCCACAAAAACAGAGAGGACAGAGGTAGCCAGTGTGACATATATGCACTTCCAAAGTGCCCTTACCAAAACTCACCCTTATATGGAGAATGTGGGTCACAGCCTAAAAAGGCTCATGTGGGATTTTTACTTTCTGTTGTCCATACTACTGTCTTGAAGATAGAGCTACAAAGTACTCTATTTTCTATGTAACACAGCCAAATTGCCAGTTCCTATCAATTGGACAAAACATTAAAGTGCCCTTGGCTTTATTGTCTCAATGTTGCTTAGTTAGTTGCTCATGTGTTGTGTGAAAATAAATTTAGTGCATTTTATACTCATTTGCACAGGTATTAGTCTCTTGTGTAGTGCATGTACACATCAACTAGTTACATAAGGTAAAACTGGGTGGTGATTTGCTGCCTATCAGCTGCTCCATGGTAACTGCATGTGTGCAGGCTCTTATCCCATGGAAATAAAAGCTAAACTACAGGAGTTTAGACCCCAGTGAAAAATGTCTGTTTTACCTCAAGCTAACTGATTAGTAGTTTGGTCAAATTAACACAAGCTAATGTTTAATTAGACACACCACAAATGTTTGTTCCGGGATCCAAATGTCTCTTCCATGTCCTGATTCACCAGCGTATCCTGGAACAAAGGTTTGTAGAGCCTTTAGATTAGCATTCACAATTGTATTATTTAAATTAATACGCAATTAACTGAGTTATAATGTGACCAAACACTCCAGTCTAGACAAACATTAATAGCTATACAAATAGAAGATTATTTTAATCAGGCTTCCAGGAACCCTCCAGGACCTGTAAATTATTTCTGAAATATGCTTAGCATTGTAGCAGCTAATATGACTTTACACATGCATACAAGCCTTACTCTTACTGGCTTTGATATTTACCTATACTGCAACTATCACCAAAGTATCTACTTAAACATTTACTCCTAGCTCATCTCTATAGTGTTTGAACATCTTACAAAATTATATAAGGAGAACTAATACTCTTTTAAAGGAAAATAATGTGCAATATTTCAATTCGTCAGAAAATCTAAAAAGTGCCATGTAATCTCTGATCCTGCATTGAACATTCTTGGGTGGGCATAATATACCTTCTGGCCAAGCAGAATTAGTATTTCTCTTTAATAATGCAATAATAAACTTCATTAACTCAACCTTCTGCTATCTTCATTGACTTTGGGTATGTGCGATATTGTTAAACAATCAGGGGGATATTAAAACTTCACATCTGATTATCTGAGTAACCCTAGAAAAATCTGTTTCATTTACATACAGAACTGGAATTACTGATAACATGACCTTTTCCTTTCTTCCTCTTACGGGAGCCTCCCTGGGACAGATACTACACACAAAATTCTCTAATGTATTTTTATAATAATTAAAAAAGAGTTAAGGAGAAGATACATTAACTGCATTTTAATTTTCCAGCATTACTGATGAACACTGAACTCTAGCAGGAGTTGCTGTGAGGATAAACATGCAGAATTGATTTCTGCAGAAACAGAAATAAATGTAGCTTTAAAAGAAGCAAGCTTCACTGAAAAGCCACTTTCTCTCCTCAACAGAAAGGGTGATTTCTCTTCTGTGCTAAGTCTCTCACATCAACCTTGGATTAACTTGTCTCATTATAATTCAAATTGAACATGCCATTTTGGCAAAAGGTAAGATTAAAATAAAAAGAACATACTACAAAAATAAATTCCTGGAAGAAAACAAATTTAATTTTCTTTGCTTTTAACACTTTTCTTCATTGTCAAAAGGAACTTCTTAATTGAAGTCTTATGAAATAGGGAACACTGTCTCTACACTGCCAAATATCTCTCTATAGACAAATAAAAATACTCGTTTATTTCAGTGGTGCCCTACTTCCCCCTGCTATAGAAAGCCAAAATTATATTTTTGTTTCTTTCTAAATTAAAGAAAGCCTAAACTGATCTTTCAGGAGCTTGTTGGAGAACTGAAATAGTTTGACAATAGTTTGAAAAGAGAGCTGAGCAATTTTTGCTCAATTCAAAATCCCATTTTCCCAGAGAAATCAGTTTTACACATAAAGTCCTATTCTTGTTAAAAACATGTCAGCTTTTTTTTCCCTTTTTACCAAATGTTTCTGGGAACAAAGTATTTTTAATGTATTTAGAAGAAAGAGTCACTTCATTGAACAGATAAACTTTACAAGATAACACTTCTGAGCTCCACCCAACTTAGATGCTAGTCTACATTGAAGAAAAGAAACGGAGGAAATGAAATATGGGGAAAAAGCGCAGAGTTTATCATCATAGATTTCAAAGTCTATTTAAGTACTAAACAGGAGTAATGGCTCAGTGATGACAACTGAAGCAAATGCCATTGCTAACAGAGACCTGCTAACAGAACTATGTAATAGTCTCTGTCAGAAAGCCAAAGCACATCTGGTCAGTTCTATTCCATGTCAATCACAAACATGCATATGTGGCATGCAGTTCAGAGTAGTTATAAAATATATCACCCCTCTGCAGTGGCAGACTTTCTAATGTTATAGTCAAATAACACAACTACGATTTTAGTTCTTTCTACCAGGAAACAAACGACAAAACAGGTATAGATAGGTGACATATACGAAACTCAGAGTTTAGTAAAGCAGCAATCACACACTGAAGATAATATTTAGAAAAAATAGAGGAAGTTTACACTAAATTGTAAATGAATTCCTTGTGATATCTTCCTTCTGCTTCATCAATGGCACATTATACTGAGAACAGAATGTTCATAGCAGAGGAATATACAAGGCAATAAACAGAATTTGTGGGTATTTAAATGAGTAAAGCTGAGGTGCTCAATAACTGTCATTTAAACCCCACTAACAATATTCCTCTCATATAAGACTAAGGGATTCAAACCACAAAACAGGAAATAGCAGGAAGATTTGTCCTATAAAGTTTTGAAAACTCTATGTTGACTCCAGATGCACTTCAGAGAGAGATTGAAAACACCTCATTGTCACAAAAAGCAATTAAGGGTGTGGGGAAAAAGGCATGATGTAACTGGAAACCATGCTACCAGAAGACTCCTATATTTCTAATAATTTGTGTCAGTAATGGTTGATATCCTTTCTTTGGATGTTAGAAGGTCTACAGGTCCTGTTGCTTTTTGCTTTGAGAATCATTTGCACACTGACTGTGCTATTCAGCTGATATTTCAGATTCTTCATACCTCAGTAGATGAAATAAGAAATCTATAATATTTCTATATCTTTGATCTATCAAGAATCAGAGGACAAGTTCAGAGAAAATAACTCAAAGAGGTGTACAGACCACTGGCTTTTAAGGAGTTTTTGTTTTTGACTCAGTTGTAGTCTACAAAATAATTGTGCATGTCTGGAAAGTACAAATCTTGCTTTTTCCTTGTGACAATTTAAGCCAGAGAACAACTGGCTTGGTTCTATTTGATTCTTATATTACATTCCCTACAAAGGTAAGAAACAAGATGCTAACAGCACTAGAAAATAATGTCCTTTTCTTTATCCACAATCTGAGAATAGTGAAGTTAGCTATTAATTTATTTGTAGCCTCTTGCCAGTGCTGTCAGTTCTGAAACTGAAGGACCAACCCAAGAAAGATAAGGTACGTCCCATGCATCTCAATAGGTCCAGTAAAGACTATATCAAGAGTATGGAATTATTCTTTTTATGTTTTTAAAGAAACCTTTAGTCTCATTTTGTTTTTTACTTCTGTACTTGAAGCTAATGAACAAGTTCTGTACCACTTACATGGTCTGAATTTCAGCATAGTCAGAAGGTTGCAGAATGAACACATGGCATTCAGCAGCCAGGGCTGGCTTCTTACTCAGAAACATCTCATTACTTTGACACCTTTACATAGCAGGGCAACGAGAAAGGGATGGCACATATCAAAGTGTAGTACCTAATGCAATGCTTACACGCCTCCAGTGAGAACTATCATGATTCAGGTGATGGTGAGAAATGATGGGCAAATATCAAAAAGTCTAAAGATGGGCTTGGAGATTAGGAAAGAAAAGCTATTACCAAGTTCTTGACAAAATTATTCAACTTCATAGGAAATAAATTAGTGTATATCTTTTCTTCTCTGTTAAATGTCTGCTGCTTCTGTCACCTTGCTCAGTATTCCTTCTTGCTTTTAGCCCAATTGGTGTTCAGCAGAGAGAAATTAATTCCACTAGTATGATAAGCTGATATATCAATATAGCAAAAAGCATATAACTCATCATATATCACTATGCTCAAGAAAAGGAAAGTTGCATGCAATTTAACAAGCCCTAATCTGACATGTTTTTTTTACTCTGATAAAGCTATTTTACACAAAGGGGGAAAAAATCCTTTCCAAGTTGATAAAACCTGGACAGCAGATGCTCCAAAAAACATATATTTCCTAAGGACTTTTGCCAATGTCGTGAGTATTTGTATAAAAGTAAAACCTCTTCTTCACACACTGGCAAGACGAGTATTCCACAGTGTTTTTGCTAAGAGTCACACAAACTGGAGATCAGGGAACCTTGCATGACTCTGGGTAAAAAGGTTCAAGATAAGTAAAGAAGTAGGCAATCTGATTGAATTGTAAAAGATAGTTAACTCTGGGATGTAAATTACTAAAGCAAGAGCCAACAAGAGCCTGATCTAACTGTAATAGTCAAATGAAATCTTTTTATGAAGATTATGAGAAAAGCTTATAAGTGGCTTTCTAAATCCCTAGTTGAACATGACAGTCTATTCTTTTCTTGGAAAAAAAAAGATTGGACTGCAAATTTTCCTTTTTGTGTTCCTGGCTCTGCTCAGCAGCATATCAGTAATATAAATCATACAGATGCTTTTCCAAACAAAAATAACCAGTTTTAAAATCTACAACAATTTTCGTAGCAATGAATGTTTAACTTGAATACTCATCTTTAAGAGGGACAATAACTCTGTTTCTTAACTTGTAAGTTAAACTAAGAATTTTTCACTTGAATATACATAAGAAATGACAATCTTATAAGTCAAAGAATTATTGGCAAACAGGGTGAGAATTAATAAACATCTATGAATTAATTTGTTGTATCATGGGGGCTTTTCTTGCCATTTTGGTGCAGAGTTGAGTGAAGTCTGCCTCTCAACAGGTAGCCATGCTTGCCACTTCCCTAATCTATTTTACTTCATTTGCTACAACCAAAACACAAGTATGACATAGAGTCAAAATGATTTTGAAAATAGCTTACCATTTACAAAGGAATACAGATTGAGAACAACTTAAAAAAATAAAAACAATCTATGGTTTATAGCGCTGTGTTCCATAAAGATAAACATTCTCTTTACTGATGGGTGCCTTCAGGTAACAAATACTTATTTCATATCCCTTCCATTCTACTGTTCATAAACCATTTTTGTATTCCAACGTGGCTCTGCCTTTTATTGCCTTCCATTCTCCTTGCCTTGGTTAGATTAGAGAGGTAGGGTGTTAATGGGAGACTTGATGAAGATTGAAGACCTATTTTCTTCCCCCGCCCCCTCCCCTATGACCAGCTTGATTTGAGCAAACTGAGGAGTATGAAGCAGCCCCTTTGTGTCCTTGGGAAGCCTTTTCCATTTCAGCATTTCCAGCTGCTGGACATGGTTCCCTTTGTTCACTGAGAACAAGGGAAAAGGTGCCCGCCTAAGAAGGTTGTGAATAATTTCATATTGCATCATTGGGGCTGCAAAAGCTCCATTTCAATTTCCTTTATGGCTGGTGAACCTGCGAACGTGAGGTGGATCCAGGGAGGGAGTGCAGGGAACTCGTGCTTGACGGTCGAGCTGGGTGAGAAACAAGCTGCTGTCCAACAGTCCCCAGTTCTGTTGCTGCCACTTCCTCGCTACTCTCTTCCTTGTGAGTATTGCTCTGTGCTGGACACTCAAAATGCACACAGTGAAACACCTGGGAATAAATGAAGAGATAAAGCAAAACAATTAAACTTCAGCAAAAATGTGATCGGAACTAAACGACACATTGAAGCATGCAAGCAACACTAGTCCACGTTAAAACAGTGCATCAAGAAGTTAACATTTTGTATTCAGGTTTCAGAAGCATTATGAAACAATGAGACTAAAGCCCGTGTAACACTCTGGTTTACACATCTTTTTCTCTTGTAAGTGTTTAGTCAGAGATGCTAAGCCTGACATCAGGAAGACTGTTTTGAGGTAGACAGAGATATTTTTATGGTTTATAAACAGCATTTCTTTTGCAAAACAGCATATCAAATAACAATGAAAGTGACTTAATTAAATCTCAGAAAAAGAATGAAAATCTATATTTTCTATGACTAAAAGTTAAATTGTAATGCAGATGAAGCTGTCTCAAAATTGGTATCTCAGCAATGCCTTTGCAGACAAAGGATCTTGGAGCATATAGAAACATAGGATTTGCCACTCTAACCACTTTTTCATCAAATGCTGCATCTCACTTCAAGTAGCAGGCAAGGCCAACTATCTCGAGATGCACCTGGTCAGTTGTACCAACAGTACATAAGGGAATTCCTTTCCTACCATGCAGGTAAATAGCTTAGCCTGATAGCATGAAATTAGTCTCTCTAAAACCCCTTTCCTATTTACTTGTCATAACCAAATGAGTTGAGTGCCCCTGTCACAACAGAACTGCCCTGAATAACCGCAGTTACTTTCAAATTTGGTCACATTCAGCCTCATTAGTTACCTAGCAGTCCGTTATTGGCTACTCCGGACATATAAAAGTTCATGCAGCTTCCGCCCAAGTCGGAGACCTCTGAGCATGCGGCAGAGTAACTACGGAGAACTCTGTAGCGCGATCGAGAAAACTTGGCGGACTGATCACCCACCAATATCTCCCCGTCACCGGGTCCTTCTGACGTACCCCCGTTATCCTGCAGGTTCCTTTTCGTTCATAAACTCATTAACTCGTAACTCGTTTTGCTATCCGTGACAATGCAAGCAAGCTACCTCGAAGCCTGCGCTGCCATTCCACGCGGTGTAAGTAAAAGCAATCTTTTAAAACCAATAAGCTGTCTCGCCTCTCCATCGCCGGCCCGCCTGACGTCCGATTAAATCAGCGATCGTCCGGCCGCCCGAGACACTTGTGTGACCCTTGTTCCTGTAGATATTCAGTGGGTTCTTTTAAATGCTATCAATGTTTTTCACAATGCCTTCTTCAAGGCAATGAACTGTACACACCATGCAAAGAAATCTTTTTTATTTATTTATTTAAAAATTGCTGCCCATAAATTTTTTTCAGGATATGGACACTTGAAGGCTTGGAACCCTTTCCAAATGGGTAACATCTGAAAAGGGCAGCAGCTGATCCAGTCTAATTGTTATGGGTGAACAAACTAAGAATGATTCAAATGCTGCAAACCTGCCCTAATTTGAACACTCCTTTACTGGGGTTAAAGTTGGACTGGGTTTGCTTGACACAGTCTCAGCTTGTTCACACACAATTAAAATGGACCAGCTGCTGCCCTTTTGAAATGTTCCCCTTGTGAAAGGGATCAAACTGTTCAAGTGTCCACACCCTGAATGTCCCCTTGTTCTTTTGTCATGGTGCTGTCTGAAGAAGAATGCCAGAGCAAGTTTTACTACATCACTATTTTGTATATTTATATCATATCTCTTTTTATTCTCCTCTTTTAAAAATATTTTAAAATTTCATCTTGTACACGTTAAACCTCTAAAACCTTTTACAATCTTAGGTGTCCTTTCTCAGGCCTTTTCAAGTTCAGCAATAATCTTTTTGAGGCAAAGTGGCTAAATCCAAGCACAGAATACAAGGTGTGGACAAACAATTGATTCATGTAGGACCATTATAATCTTCTCTATTTTTTGCTACCCTCTCTTTAATGCAACCTGGAATCCTATTAGCCTTTTTGACTGTCACTGCACAAGTGCACATTGAGCAGACATCTTCACTGAACTGTGTGTCTACAATAGCCCCTGGATCTTTTTTTCTGAGAGGTGCGAGCTAATTTAGAACCCAACAGTGTGTATGAAACCCACAGAGCTTTATTCACAGTCACTGTGTCATTGTGTCCTTTGTAGTTCTCTCTTATTATAATTTCCTGTCTCTCCCTTGGTGCCAGAGTTCTTGCAATGCAGGGCTTTTTCTTCCTTTTTTAAAACTTTGTAATCTGTCCTGTTATTTTCTCTCAATTCTTGGTGTGATATATATTAACATGTTAGGTTGGTTTTGAGTTTTTTTGGTTTTTGTTTGTTTGTTTTTTTGTTTTTTTACAGACAAACTAATCTCTGCATTGGCATGTATGTTGCTAGGATGCCCCTCATGAACGGAATTTCTCAAAGACTAGAGGTGCACTGATATATCGGTTGCATATTGAATTGGCACCAATCAAAGGGAAATTTACATTATTGGCTACTGGCTTTTTTTGGCTGTTGTAGCCAATAATGTTCTCTAATAAATATAATTAACTATGCCTTCTGGCCAGGACCCCCAGACACCCGGGTTCCCTTGGAAAATGGTGGATTTCCCTTTGCAGGCGGGAAGCATTCCAGCCTGCAAGAAGTCCTGTTTGGGCTGCCAGGAGCAAGATGCAGAGGGTGCCTCATGCATGTGCACAGCCACACATACATACCGCCAGGAAAACCGCTGGGCAGTGTGGACAGCAGCTCTCTGCAGGTAAGTCTATGGAGGAGAAGGGCTACAGGGGAGGGAAGGGAGATGGGGGTGGGGGGGGAAGGGGCACAGATCAAGGCTCCCATGCTGAAGGAGGGAGTGGGCTGGGGCTGAGGGTACTGCCCAGCCAGGGCAGTGCATGGGACAGGAAGCAGGACAGAGCAATGGGCAGCTCACGCAAGTAGCGTGGCTCCCTGTTACTGAGCACACCCCTTGGGAGAGGCATGGGTGGCGCATGTGCCTCCCCAGATTTGTGCGCAGGATGGATACAGGCTGCTCGCTATGGGCTTGGGGCTCTCTGCTCTGCTGCCTTTGCCCCGGGACCCCTGCACCTGCTGTGCTTGGCAGCAGTGGGGGTGGTGAGCTGTGTCTCCTGCTGCTGGGTGGGCAGGGGACACATGGCCGGTATGGGGCTCCTGAAGCAAAGGCATCAGAGCAGACAGCCCCGAGCCTGCAGCTGGCAGCCTGTGTCCACCCTTGCCCTGCTTGGCTCTGCCCTGCTTAAAAGTGTCCCGGCGCTTGCAAATGGTGGCAGCAATGTTTGAACTAAATCTCATTCGACAATCTTTAGTTCAAGCACCCCTTCCACCATGTTTAAGCTCTGGGACACTGATACATGTGGCACCAGAGGCTGCTGGAGTGTGTCAAAAAAAGGTTTATTTATGCCAGTACATTTTAAAGTACTAGAATAAATAAACCCTTTTGGGGGGGTGTAACCAAATCGGCTATTGGATCAGTATCGACCAATATGATTGGTGAATAATCGGCTATCAGTATTGGCCAAGAAAACCTTTAATCGGACAGCTGCTGTCATTTTCCCAGCCTCCATTATTAGTATTGGACTTTGTGGAAATGGACTATAGCTCATCAGTGCATCTCTATAATACACTGCTTTCCTTGCAAAGCAGTCTGGTCAAATGGCAAGGGCACAAGTTTGACACACCGATGATTCCATGCTTCTACAATATCCTACACTAACAGTGTTTCTCATCTAAGACTTCACCTTACATTTAGATTGTGATGCATCTTTTTATACAGTACAGATATTGCTAACCTTTATCTGATATCAGTCCATAAAATCAGAAATACATGGCTTCTAAATTATAGCTTTCATTTTTACCATTTCTCCTTCATACCAGGCTCTAATGATCATCCCAACATCTGCTACATTAACATCACTGTAGATTTAAGAGGTGTTTTATTACGTTCTACTTTAGCATACGTAAAGCAGCTATGAAAAAAAGGAGAAATCCAGAAGCACAGTCCTGAATGCATCAGTTCCAGCCAGTATTTGATTTACATACATAAACACAGTTATTACAAAACAAATAATAATGCAGGCACTTCTTTATGAAAGCAGGAATATAGGTCTCAGCCACATGGTCCAATATGAGAATCTACTGTACTTCTTGTGGAGATTTTATGAAAGTCTCATGTGCAAAGGAGTGGAGCCAAACTTTCTACACCAGAAAGGATACTGGGGAGACAGAGTGCTTCAATAACATGCAAAAATGTAACATGGGGTCAGAAATCTGTGACTTTCAGATCTACTGACAGATGCAAAGCACAGGATTGGATGAAAAAGTTTACAAGGATTAAACAAATACATTCACATAAGAAGCTCAGTGTCAAAGAACTCCCATAACCACGCAATCCAAAACACAACCTGTCCTGAGAAAAATATGGGAAAACTCATAGGAGATCATCCCCTAAAAGCCAGCAAATCCCTGTGCTGGTAGACCTAGGGGGATGCAGATACTAGAGCTGAGGTTTATAGAAACTATGCTATCAATGCCCCATATGTTTAAAATTAAAATTGTTTCAATGAGGAATTCTACTACTTGGGAGCAACTGTATCTGGTTATTTGAAAGAGAAGAATTACACAAATGAAGGATGTGCCCAGATTAATTTGAAAGCAATAATGCACTAAGTAACTGAGATAAGGAATCCTAGAGGAATTAAAGGAAAGGAAGAGAATAATTATAGCTTGAATATGATAAAGGGAGTAAGTGAATGAAAAAAAATTGCCACACAGCACCTGATTTGAATGATTAAAAGGAGGAGGAGAGATGTGAATAACCAAAATTGATCTGTGATGGGTGTAGAACAGTAACAGTGAAATATTAATGGGCATCAATAATCTAGACATAAACTGGGACACACTAAACAGAAGGAATACATTGAGTAAAACATTTGCAGGCACCCTGATGAGAACAGCCAACTGGGCTGCACTAAGCAAAGGAGGAACTATGGACCCAGTCCTGCTCCTTTTGAAGTC